TTTTCAGGGCAAAAATAAAAAAATAAAACAAAAATAAATATAATAATAATTTTTAGCAGCTTTAACCTCTTAGAATTCAACACTCATTGCTCATTCGCTGAAGTAGAAAGTGTGACAACTAGCCCCGGTTTCCCTCACAGTGTCAGGGATGTACTGACCATGCAGTCGTGCCCATGGTGCTCTGCTCTGCCACTCATCTAGATCTTTCTGCAGTCCTGGATGTTCTGCAGAGGTTGAAGAGGCTCTCAGCTTGCTAGGACGGGATTCTTCTTTCTCCTCCTGAAGGAAATGCCCATCAACGAGACCCAGAAGACATACAAACACAAGCAGCATCACCTGCAAGAGAACCAAAAGATGTCATAATCACTGATACAGCGTGTACTGAACTGAAGCTGTTGTTATGATTGCAAAGAAAGAGCCAATAACACGCTATTAGGAAATATAGTGACACGAATCCTCAGGGTTAATCTAGTGCGCTGTCACAGCCTGCCCATTACTCGTCTGTGTTATATAAACCCTGACAGAGTAAACCGATCCGTGATGTCCGATCGGCCCATTCACATGGATACGCTTCCCACCCCAAACCTGAACTACAGCAGACCTCCAGTGATCCTACATAGCCACCACTTCAGCCCCTTTAATTACTTAAGCAACACCTAACACCGCCGTAGGTCCCCATGAGTAAATATTTCAGGATGACTTTAATGAATGAATGTCTGTGGAGTGTCTGGCTGAAAAGATCTGATGAGCCGGAGTGAAAATCAAGCGTGCTGACACACAAACAAGTCCAAACGGACACGCTTCTGACACATTTGGTAATGTAGTACAGGCAAGCCGAGACCAAACAGGTGTTGCGATGTTATGTCAGGCAGCATCAAAGCGTGAGTTTATTTATTAGCCGATAACCCAAATGATATGAGGAATGCTCACCTTCCAGTTCCTCAGGTGACATCGGGCAGGTGCTGCCATGCAGGTCTCCAGACTTCTCCACCCTTTGCCATCTAGAAAGGAAAAGATGTATAATTTGATATGCATGCAAATATAATGGCACTAAACAAGTGGCTCTTAAAGAAACAGTCTCTCACAAATGAAAAGTCTAATTTGTGTCAGAAGATCCATAGAGCTGTAAATAGAAAAGAATTTTCCGCAATGCATTTCTTTAAAAACTTTGATGGAAAGATCACTGAAAATCAACTCTCCTACCGAAATAAATGTGATAAGATGTGCTTTTTGCATTTTATGGGGAAAACATAGCAGCATATCTGACAGATGAATAATGGGAGAATTTCAATTTTATTGTGAGCAATGTCTTTAATGTCACAAAATTAAAATTATTTAATCGTTTTCTGCTATATTCCCTCTGCTGAAAGCATGATGGGTAAAGAGATGTGTAAATATCAGTCAAATGTCAGATATTATCTGACTGTGGTTTCATGACTCAGCAAGTCCCATCTTTCCTTTATCATGCATTTTGCTAGTAAAGCCAGGAAATTATATAACAAATATTTATTCTTCCAATATACTCATATTAAACTTATTTTGCCCAATTTTGATATGGTCATTCAACAAATTATGTAACCTAATGAGGAGAGGTGTACTTTTACTTTTATAAGCCAGGCAAGTTTTTAAAAATATGATTAATTATGATGATCACTTTGCAGAAGGAAACCTCCATATAGGCTATTTTAAGATTCATTTATACCTTTAAAAAAAAAAAAAATAGTGTGTACTACAAAGAAAACATGCGTAAAAATTAAATAATTGGCATTTATATTGTCATATTACTAAAGTAAATTATAATCTTTTATTTTTTTAATATAATTTTAAAATATTTACACTTTTTTTTTCTCTCTAAAAATTTTCATCAGATGCTCTCGCACCCCCTTGAAAAATTATTATAATTAGAGATTAAAAATGATTATTAATATGATTTTTGCAATAAATATGGGTCCAAAGCAACTTTTTACTTCATTTTTTTTTTTACAGTTTCTTTTCTCTGAAATGTTCCCCAGATGCTCTAGCACCCCCTTAAGAAATCATTATTATTATAAATTAAAAATAATTTTTAATATGCTTTTCATAATAAATATTGGTCCAAAGCAACTTATTTTTTGCAGTTTCTTATCCCTGAAATTTCCTGCAGACAATTTCAGGCATACTGGGATTCCCAAAAACGTTTTATCTACTAAGCAACAGGACAATTTTCACCTAGCAATGCCCTAGCAACCACACAGAACACCTTAGCAACCAGTGCTGGGGAAAGTTACTTTTAAAAGTAATGCATTACAATATTGCATTACTCCCTAAAAAGTAACTAATTGCGCTACTTATTTACTTTTTATGGAAAGTAATAAATTACATTACTTTTGCGTTACTTTTTCTCATCTGGGCTGAGCTTGCTTCCTTGTTTTCAAAATGAAAAAGTCGTTTTTGGCAAATGTAAAAGCCCTTTCACACCAAAAGTGAAATGAATAAGCCTCAGGCTGAAGGAAATGTAAATTCAAAAAGCTCAAACAAACCATCCAGCTGTGCTGCCATTCCTGAATGCATGAAGAATAGGACGCAAGAGAAGAAAGTGTTATGTTTATCTTTTGCTTATCAGTATTGTTGAATTGGATCATCTAAGGTCAACAGCAAAGACACTGGGATTAAATACATAAAATATATTTGTGTTATTTAACATATAATTATTGCAGGTTTGTGTAATATGTGTAATATTTGCATTTCACTGTTTTTATTCATTTTGAGGAATACTGAATCTGTTTTTGAGCAAGTGTAAAGTCATGTTTAGTCTAGAACTTTAGTAACATCATGTTTTTACAGCGATTTCTTTACAGGAGAACTGTCAGTAAATCATTGGGGAAAAAAGTAACTGGCGGTACTTATTTGAAAAAGTAACTCAGATATTTTCTTGTAAATTAAAAAGTAATGTGTTACTTTTCTAGTTACTTGACAAAAGTAATCTGATTTGATTTTGAAAACATTATATCATTGTTAATCACATGGCTCTGAGGGTTTCCTTGACCACATGTATAAACTTGCAGACACTGAAACATTCTCTCGTGCTGCACGTAAACGGCACACATTTAAAGGCGGCTGCTATGAAACCATTAAGCAACAGGATGTGATGAAAGTAGCAACACAATTCAGAGCTGACCTAGCGAGATGGTTTCACCTGCAGCCTTAAATATCAAATTTACAGCACACTGTTGCTATGAATACCCCGCCATTGCCGAAGGCTGCAAGCTGTTGTGTGCACTGACACAATCTGCTCCGTTTGGCAGCTTCACTGAGTCACATAAAGGTTAGCAGAAGATTTAAAACACTCTGTGACTGATAACACTCTTCAATTATAAACTACAAGCATATGCAACCATTAAAACTGAAGTGTCTGCACGCTAATGTCACTAAATAAAACTGCAAAAATAATGACAAACAGATAGCCCTGCACCAAACTCACATGACCGGTTGCACCAATGTCTACATTTTGGATTGGAAAATCAAGACTTGTGAAGCATTGTTAGTGCTGGGCGGTATGACCAAAAATTGACATACACTGGTATTGCGGTATTTTAAAAATTCATATCATAACAAAAATAAACACCGGTATTCGGTATGAACCGGTATACCGCCCAGCACTAGGGGATCATATTGTTAGTTAATGTGATTCTCTACATCTGTGTTTCCTCTGTTAGGACACCTGTGAGAACTTGAGGAGAACTGACTTCATATATTGATTAAAAATCACCAAAACACCAACTGATTCAAAAAATAATGAAGAAAAGTGATGTTAGTCCTGCAGTATTTGATACAGACACCTGATCTGATGTTTAATCATCAAATGCTTTGACATTCAGACATTTTTAAGTGTGTTATTCTCAGTCCTAATAGTTTCTGGGCCATTTTTTTTTTTTTTACATTTATTTTTAATTATAATTTTAATAATTTGAATGGTGATATATACAAGTAGATTTCCATGTATTAATTATTATTTTTTAATTAACATTTTTACATTTATTTTAAGTATAAAATAAGATATATCTTGGGCATTTAAATTACTAAAATTAACATTATTGTAATAATTCAATTTGATTTCCATATATATATTAATTTCCATACATATATGCATGTATGTATGTATGTATGTATATCCTCAAATAAACATTTGTGACAAAGCAGTAAATCACAAACACACACACCTACACCCAATCACAATATGCAAATAGTTTTAAGATGATTCACCGTTGAGCAACTTCTTTCAACTTCAAATGAAGAAATCGTATCATTCATCATCACTGCGAAAGGTTGTCAAAACGTGCTTTAAGCCAACGAAGATTTTGATGTGGCAAGATGTTGATGACACAGGATTATTAAAAAACAAATATGCCATTAAAATCAAACGATAAGAAACCTAAGTCAACATCCTCCTGACATACATCAAAGAGAACGTGCTTAAAGACAGACTGTGAAACTGATATGTGTCTGGTTTCAAACAGTCACACTGAGCTGCTAATGCTGCGCTGCACGAGCCAATCACATTCATCCAATGAAGATGCCTTATATCAGCCACTAAAAGACAAAGTAAAGGAGCAAATGTATTGACTTTGCAACACGTAAAACCAAAGGTAAAACTTGAACAAACACACTATCATTCAAAAGTTTGGGTCAGTAATTTTGAATGAAATTATTACTTTTATTAAGTAAGGATGCATCAAATTGATCAAAAGTGACAGTAAAGACATTTAAAAAGTTACAAAAGATTTCTGTTTCAAATAAATGCTGTTATTTTAAACTTTCTATTCATCAAAGAATCCTGAAAAATAAAATGTATCACGGTTTATACAAAAATATGAAGCAGCACAACTGGTTTCAACATTGATAATAATCAGAAATGTTTCTCGAGCAGCAAATCAGCATATTAGAATGATTTCTGAAGATCATGTGACACTGAAGACTGGAGTAATGATGCTGAAAATTCAGCTTTGATCACAGGAATAAATTACATTTTAACATCTATTCAAATCGAAAACACTTATTTTAAATTGTAAAAATACTTAGCAATTTTCTGTATTTTTGATCAAATAAATGACGCCTTAAGCATTAGAAAAACATAAAAATTAGTGCTGTCAAGCGATTAATCGCGATTAATCACATCCAAAATAAAAGTTTTTGTTTACATAATATATATGTGTGTTTACTGTGTATATTTATTATGTATATATAAATACACACACATGCATGTATATATTTCAGAAAAATATGTTATGTTTATATATTAAATATAGTTATTTATAATATAAATTATATGAATATAAATATAGACATGGAAATACATGTAAATATTTTCAAAACATATACTGTATGTGTGTGTATTTATATATACACAATAAATATACACAGAACACACACATATATTATACAAACAAAAACTTTTATTTTGTATGCGATTAATCGTTTGACAGCACTTTTAAAAATGTAAAAAAATCTTACCATCCATAATCTTTTGAATGCTAATGCATGTCTATGAAAATGTATGTGTGATGCAGCTTATTTACAGCATGTAAATGTCGGTACTTTATTATTCTGACACTTAAAAGTGTGCAACTTATTGAGGGAGAGTGTTCTTTTTTTGTAAATAATAATCAAAAATTTAAATTTTTCACCTTCAAACATTAAAAACAGCAAACTAAACCCCACAGCCGTACATTGAAGGAAAGACCCAAGGCATATTGAGACTAGAATATCACAGAGACTTGAGGATGAACTCCTTTCACTTGTTCCAGTAAGTACCCACCTAGCAACTGCCCAGAACCCCCTAGCAACCATCCAGAATGCCCTATGCACCGCATAGCAACAGCCTTGCATCATGACGGAGAGATTTTAACAGGCAAGCACCAGTCAAACTGTCTTCAGAAGTATCTACTGTTGTGAATAAGACAGACAGAGAAATGATCAGAGATGTATACATTTTATACAAGCTCGTCTGTGAACGAAGAGAGAT